TTGTGGTGTACCACACCACGGGAGTCAAAGAAAACAGTCAGCATCACTTTGACGTTGCTGCGCACTTGGCGGGCCTTCTTTGGTCTTGGTGACATGGTTCAACAGGCTCCTTACTCTCCTGATATGGCTCCTTGCGACTTCTGGCTGTTCCCCAAACTCAAGAGGCTATTGAAACGAACGTGATTTCAGACAAGAGAGGACATTATGGGTGCAACGACAGCCGAGCTAAACTCCATTTCGAAAGAGGCTTTCTCGGAATGCTTCCAACAATGGCGGCACCGCTGGGAGAAGTGTGTGGAGTCCCAAGGAGACTACTTTGAGGGTGATTAAGTTTCCAACGCTCCAGGTATGCCAGTTTTATTCCCCGGCCAAAGGTCGGATACTTTTCTCACAGGCTTCGTATGTTTTTAGCTTTTCTAGTATACTTAATAATACTCTGCTCTCTATATTATTATTATTACCCAAATCAGTCAAGAAAATGTCTTAAAAAATTTCTATGGGTTGACTGAGGCAGGGACAATGCATCAGTTAAACAAAACATTACATAGCCATTGATGGTTAAACCATTTCCATCCATTTCATCATAACTTTTCTTACAGATGTAAAGGACTCGATTGCCTTTTCTTCCCTTTACTTTCTTCTGAGCTCTCATCCCCCAGCTACAGATTTGAGGAAAAGTATGGTACATACTCTTACCTTATAGTCCTAAAATAAGAGTGCAAAAACAAAGAGAAACTGCAAAATTGAAGCACCAGTACTACTAAGGTATAGCCTTTTCCTGTAGGTTTAGTTTTCCTAAAAATGCTATCTACTGTTTGGAAGTGTTTTTTTCTACAGCAGGGCCATTTTCTACATTAATATAAATAAAAATAATGCTGTTGAAAAACATACTTACCACCACTCTTTCATGAAGGTTTTGTCCAAACACAAAGTTCGTAGGTGCTGTGGCAGCTCTGAAAAAAACCAACATGTAAAATAATATAGGAAAAATATTTATCGTATAATGAATTTTATATAAAAATACTTCAATACTATAATAAGAAAGTCACAAAGTTCGCTATACATTTCTACAGCAAAGTTAATAAAGTTCTCAACTTCTTTACCAACTTTATCTGTTAAAACCATTCTCTTATCATTTATTTTGATTTTAAGCAACAGAATACCTAAGAATATTCTTACTGGTTAAATGTTATATAAATTTTTAAAATTCATTCAGAATACATTCATTATTCTCTTTCATCTCGTTTATTTGTGGTTATGATGCGCTTCGACTAACTGTGATGTGCCCATTATAGGGATCAAACCCTAAATAGTAGTGTTATAAAAACTGAAGCTAATACTCAACAACTGGGGGACCTCTTACTTTGAACTAAGAAGATACTAGGAATGACTACCACAAGGTGATTGTATACATACAAAAAAAACATACCAAAAGCTCAAGTAATTTCCAAGAGTGGGCCTCCTGATGATGAAAACATTATTCCAAAGAAACTGAGCTTTTGGGTCATTTTTTTCCACTGTTTGTGTTCTCTGCAATTCTTAAGCATAATTATTCTTTTCCATATAAATTCAATTCTTCGTAATAAGAAAAGCAAACTGCACTAAGTCTGTGATGTAAAAGAATCCATATAATGTAAAAGAATTTAAACTCTAATGATTAGATAAATAATTGTTTACATGATGTCAGTAAAATTGCTAATCTAGAAAATCTAGATGCACAACTATGTTTACGTAACTTTGTCCACTCAAAATCTAAAACTAAAAATTAATAATTTATCATGTAAATGTTTGTTACATTGTTAAATGTACAAGTTCTGCTGCATTTGTTGGAACTTGTTTTTCTTCGTCAACCTACCTTATGATCCGATAATGTTGTTTTAAAGGCAGGTAAAGAAAATCAGAGCTTTTTGGTTGTTTTTTTTTATTTGTAATTTCTTTTAACCACATACATTTAGGAAGGAATAATAGTAATAGTAATTTATCTTAGTTTAAGCCTATTATGTACAAATTGAAGCAAGTAAAATATGCATGTGGGGGAGGGGGAACTAAAAGAAGATGAGTTTTAAGGAATATAGGAAATGTTTGGAACTTGGGGTGAGTTATGCCATCCTCCAGCCTGGTGTTTAAATCAGTTGGTTCTGATGAACCCTAGGATAACTCATACTTGGATATTTTTACTTTTTTTTTTATTCACGATTGAAAAAAATAAACATTTTTGTAAATGTTGTCTTGATAACCATATTGGGTGGGGGGAAAGACTGCTTTGCTAATAAACTTGGCTTTTTTAAATCTAGCAATATAATATGAAAAAGACTGAACTACATAAAATGTAAGACAAGAAACAAATAACTAGTACCCCACTTGATTGAGTTTGAGAACTAAAGAGCAATAAAACTACTTTGTCTAGGCCAGGCATCGACAAATCCCAGACACCAGGTCGCCATGGTGAATAAACATTTCATTGTGGTGCCTAGTATTTTCTCATATTTTATTCGTGCATAGGGATGTACTAAATAGAACTCAAACCTAGAATAGTTCTGGACTCTTGGAAGTCCGGAACTATTTTTGCATTCTTTGAGTCTGAAATCAAAATTTGTTTCTAGGATTTTAATGGTGGATTCAACACTTCTTCGTGTTTTTTCAGGAATGAAGTTCTACAGTTGCATAACACATTACTAATTTTGTGCCATTTTGTTTTTCTTCTTTCTCTCAATTCAGCCAATCAGTGCACATGTTTAGATTCAGATGGGACCAAAGGCAGTTAGTTCAGGCAATACTATCAAGTGATTGTTGATATCATGTGATCGTTAGCATACACTCGTTGCTGTGAAAATAAATAAATATAGCCCCCATTTCCCAGTACAAACAGTAGTGAAGACAGGTTAGGCACTCCAAAAGACCTTTGCTTATCATTGTAATGTTATAGTGATGAGTAGATTAGACCTATTCTAAAACAACCTGCTTGGCCTATCAATATTGCAGTGATTATTTTTATTTTACTTTCATTCATTGCAAGAATCCACCTAAGTTATAGTTATTTAGTCTATTATTTTAATAATTGCACATATTGAAGTTTAACTTTAATATGTTACATAATAAAGTTTAATAATTAAACCTTTGTTTTTTATTGTAAAACTGTATGTCTTGAACCATGACCATACAACTGACTCAAAATATATTCCATAACTTTTCTATATCAGACCTGGCTCCAAGATCTGAAAGTATTTGTCAAGGCCTGCTCTAGCCAATGATCTTGTGGTTATCTTGACCCGTGTATAACAGAACTCATGTAACTATTTACCTTGTGAATGAGCTTCTCTTTCAAGAACAACTTCAAGGAGTTTTGAAACAAATTAATAAAATATCCACATTAAACTTCAATGTTTCCAGAATGTTAAAGATTAATATGACTGAATGTTAACCTCATGCTTAATACTCAGATAAAATTAATACCATGCTTAATGAAATTCCTTAGAAAACTGTATGTCATGATACTTCTGACCCAACCATTTTATTTCCTGATCGTTCGATCTATGCTTATAATATATTATTTATAATCAAATGTGAAATTGCAAACATTCATATATAAATTTTTTAATAAAGACATAACAGTCTGTATGTTAAGAGTTACGGTTTGATTAAATGTAATTCAAAGTTTCAGTATGATTGGTTTATTTATTTGTTTATAGTATCACATAGCAACCACTCTTTGATTTTAATTGAAAGCATAAAAATATTATTACAGCTTAAAGAACATTATAGATCTTAACAATTGTGAATATTATGTTTCAAATTTTAATACACAGAAGGAACATATTAATGTTACTGTTGTCAAATGGAATATACTCCCTTTAGGTAAGAACCTAGCTATCATTTATGTAATATATAAAAAAACTGCCTTCATACTCCATGACAATTACCAATAAACAAAAAATACTGATGTACAAAAAAACAATATTTATGCATAAAATGCACATATCAACATGCTAAATGCGTCAGATTGAACCTGTATGCGAGTTTTTGGTGTTAACTCTCCCGCTACGAGGTCGGTCTATTCGACGGACCTTGTAACCATTTTGTAGTCATTATAGTTTTCATACTATAACTTTTAATACACTTTGTCTATCTGCACAAAATTTGGTAGATTTTTAGTAAACATTACAAGTCTTTTGTACACAAAAAATCAGATTTTTTAATGAAGTATTTTTACTAAAGATTTACCCGTGAATATATATAGTATTTCTATATACTAGTCCAAGTGCTAAGTGATTTCTACTGTAAGATTAAAAATACTTTTCTCCATCTCAAAAATCTCAGTAAAACTATATATTTTATCTGTTATTGTCTCTACCCTAACTTTATACAAGGTTGGTCAATTTGACTAACTTCATAGCCACCAAAAAAAAAAAAATTAAATGTATCAAAATCTAAATTACCCCCTTTTTTTTAAATACAATAACTTCAAATTGTAACATGAAACTACAAGTTTATCCTAAAAAGCTATAAAACTCATAAGAGTATACATGTATTTATACTTAAATCTTATTGTTTTGTTGCTCTCTGAACCCTGATTAATTACTATACATGCCATTATAGGTTGTAAATCACTTGGCAAATATGCATCCCGCTATCAAATTACATTATGCACGTGCTACTCGCAAATGTATCTCATGAAAAAGTTTATTATTTTATTATTTATTTCACCTAATCTAATCTTAACATAAAAAGTTTCCTATTTTTTACATTTTAATTACTGATATAGTAATAAGTAAAGAATACACATGAAAGTCAAGAAGTACTTACCTGGGTCTTCTTTTTTTTTGCTGTCAACTGTTGATGACACTTAACCCTACTTTTTATACTAATGGTAGTACTGCACTAAATAACTTTTTATTTAATTAAATAAAGCACCAAAGAACACAGAATAATAATATGCAAAAAGCAGACAATGTCCCATAACTGCCACAATTTTTCTGGCTTTCTAACTATGCAACAAGAGCTGTTAAAACTTTATCTCAGCTTGTCAATGTGTTTCCCATGGAAATTAAGCTTGAACTGAAAGGGAAATTGAAAATTCTCTTTACACAATGTAATATAATATATCATTTGATAGAGGTTAACACCGGCTTTCTATTAGTCATAAGTAATATAGTATTGAATGGCATAGAGAACTATTGGCAATTTTGGAAAGACAGGATATGACAGGCAGGCATGGCAAGAGGGGTCTTGTCTGGTTGTCTATTTCATAGCTCTGTAACCACATACGACTGAAGGCTATAAAAATTATGCTTAGCCTGAGTGATGATGATATTATAATAAGTAATTTAAATTAAATTTTGTACTTCTTGGAGAAGTAATAAATAAATTAGAGAAGAAGGGATATCTAGAGAGCAAATTTCATAATTCTCACACTATGGGAATTTTATATTATTTTAAATATTGCCTTATAAAAGTAAGAACTTAAAATATAAATACTATTAAACTATTGATTATTAGCTACATTTATTGGTAAACCATGAAAAAGAAAGTAGTTTTATTAAATTTTGAATGTCACTGAATAAAACCTTGTAAAGTGCAGAAAAAGGTGTCTGTGGAGAGAGGGTTAATGAAAATTTACTCTGTTTTGCCAACCCAGAAACATCACTGAATTACATGAAATTCCATAACTTTTCCTAGTTTTTGTCTATAAAATGAAATTCCCTGGTGTTTCCCAGGCCAAGAACACAAAATTCACTGACTTTCCTGGTTTTCCCAACCCATGGAAGCCCCATCAGAATGTTTAACTGAATTAAAAAAAAAAAAGTATGTCCCACCTGGTGTATAAATATGCTTACATAACAACTACCCACGAAGGACTGTTTGCTGTTTTCTGTTGAAAACTTAATAAAAAAAAAAAAGAGTTAATTGTACAACATGCAGTGGCTGTCTTACAGAAAAACAAAACATAGAAAAATTATGAGGCCATCTCAACCACTTCTGTGTAGTTCTTTGATGAGTTAGAAGAAGGAAACTTAAAGAAAAGCTTTCTCATATTTTGTTATAAATAAAAGTAGTAATATATCATAACAAAAGCACAAACACAATTCTTTAATTATTCAAAAATTATACTTCTAATCCTTTGTCATAATTGCTAATGTGTAAAACCACCAGAAGACAAACATATCTCTCCATAGTGAAATCAAAATGTGTTCAAGTTTAAATTATTTTTTATAAATTTATTACATTTTTTATTAAAACACTCGGGTCATTTTAGTATACAAGACAAACATGGTAATTCAAGTAATACCCACTTTGATGCATGTTCTACCAGCACTTAAGACATTCTGCAGTGCCTGTGTGCGTGAAGGTTTCTATCTTTCCTTAACGACAGGGTAGAGGTAAAACGTGCATATACAGATCCGGAATATGCTAGATTTATTATATAATATACTTTCCCGTATTAACAAGAAACCTGAAGTGATCTAAAACTTACTTTGATTCTGAAGACACTGGTGATTTACTACAGTCTGATTTAAACAAGGATTTAAATGGAGAGTCATCACTTGACCTCAGAGACTCAGGGGACCTGGAAATGGAAGATGTCACTTGTTTCTTTGTTCCATTGTTACTGTTACTACTCAAGTGTGCCGAGTCACTATCTCCAAACTGTTCCAAGTTGTCGGAAATACCTTTGTTTTCTTTATCTTCTTGTTTATGGCTTGCAAATGTCAAATTAGGGGAATCTGGAAACAATAAAGGTGTAACTGAATTATTGCATACTGAAAAATATAATATTCTTTTACAGTTTAATATTACATGAAAGCAAAATATGTATAAATATACACATTGAAAATGTGTTCTAACAGACAAAATGACAAATCTTGAAAAATCACAAAATAAAATAAAAAGGTTGCAAATTCCTCTAATTAAAACAATAAATAAATTAAGTAGTCAATGTTCTGGTCAAGTGACTTTTACCAAGACTTCATTTGTTCCCTTCTTACAGTATTTTAATCATTTCTTTATATGTTCAGGTTTTATAACACAGTAGATGCATTTGTTTATTATTTATGACAGACTTGATAATATTCTACATATATTTCAAAATTAGTTATAACTCAATACCACAGTGATAGTAAAAATTGATCTGTATTGTTGACAAATTAAATGCTTGTATTGCATCGTATTACACAACATTTGTTAGTTTAAAATACTAAATTGGGATTTCACAAAAGTTGCATTTAATCTTAGCAGTACTGCATTGCGGAATAAAATTTTCTTTGAATAGTATCAAATTCCCCAACAACAGCAACATTGTGCGATATCAGCCCATACAACTGGTATCTGGTGAAGTGAATTCCAATCACATTCATCAGTTTTCAGCAAACTACAAATAATCACAGAGACAGGACAGTTTGATCTGTAAGTATTTGTCCTGTTGTACAGTGTTGTAAATATGCTAAAAAAGTAGTCAAGATAAAAAAAATTAGCACAAATTAACACCAAAAAAGTAAAATCGAGTACAACAGACCCATAAACTTGAGTACTTTCAAATAGTTGTCTTTCTTCTTTAGGTCTGAAAAAGTTAAAGGTTAAACAGTGTGGGGCTATAAATACGAAAAAGAAGTACATATCACGTGAGCAGAAAGTTTGTTGAGATGGCATCAGCATTTAAGTTGCTTAATGTCACAACCTTTGTCAACAGATATTGTACAGCTTTCACAATGACTCATTGGACATGCAGAACTGAAGCCATTGATGAATTAGCCTTGAAGTCTCCAGGGATCCCAGATCACCAGGTATCAGAAACAGGGTGTATGCTGCCTCCTACCATCACCATCCCAGATCCAACTCCATTTATACAGGAGTCAGCTGAACCTTTGAGGACTCTGCCTAGAATCCTGAAGTGTTCAATCAGTGAGTGCAAGGTGGAGACAGAATCATTACCAAATGCACATCTACCTACAGAAGAAACGCATTACTGTAAAGCTGAAGAAGATCTTCCCAGAGCTAAGATCTCTATGTAATTCTTTCAAGCATCAAGAAGGTCCATCCACCTCAAAATCAAGAAGCCAGCTGCTATCAGTGATGAGAGTTGCCACAGTTCAACATCAACCTGGGAGTATCCACATCAGCTGCCATACCTCCACTGCCCATCAAGCAGCTTCATATCCATTCTCCACAACCAGAGAAATTACAGCTGCCCACTGAATTCCCAAAAGAAATGAAAAAACTCTTCACTTCAACAAGTACTGGCCCAAAAGCACCAAAGCCAAGAGCAAGCAGCCAGATGGACGGAGGCCTGGGCACTTTATATCTGGGAGGAAGATTATCCCATGAAGCATTGGGATCCTCTTCATAGTTGGAGGAAGATGTGTGCCATTAATATGCCAAGCTGGATAACATTCAAAAGGCTTTCACAGGATTCCAAAAAGTCATATACAAGATGACAATGGCTATTCCTAAATCAACCACTGCAGTGGATGATATGCTGTCAGGACTCCAGTAAAAGTAAAAGGCTCTGGTTTCCTACAATACTATCTATAGGTTTTATTATTTTACTTTTTCTTGTGGGCTTAAAGAATATTAATATAGTGTAAATTAAGTTTCATTCTTTTCTTCTTTGGTAATTTTGTTGTATATATTTTGCATATATTGGTCACTCCTTTTCATTTTTGTAGTATTATCATCATTGATGATGTCCTTGTATCTATGTATATATTTCATTGTACATTATCATCTTAAAGGTTTAATTAGTGTTTATACCTTTGTTCTTTCACATGTATTATGTTTAACAGTATTCTGTTCATATTTCTAATATATTTTAAAGCAATTTATTTTTTTTACTGTAATGTTGTATTTGGTATTAGCTATTGCTTGTCAATGTTAGAGGTTGTTTTGTGCTTTGCATAATTTTTGATTTTTGTAAAAAAATTTCTAATGTCATTTTTTAATGTAACATTGAAGACCTTACTTATATTTCAAGTCATTGAATTATTTTCATGTCTTTAATTTTATTGCATCTTACTCTTATGTAAAGGGTTGATTTTGTTTTGTTTCTTCTTTTGTGTGTAATGAGCTTTGACAGTTAATTTTCTGTTTACAAAAACTCAGATGAAAGTAAAGGACTGTGACAGAGTGTCATCTTTTTTAAATCACATATTAAACAATATATCAAATTCATATTTTAAAAGGTGTGTTTGAAGTGTCTTATATGAATTTTTATTAGTGTATCAATTCAGGGGTGGCAATGTTTTAAAGGGGTTAATATATAATGTCAGCCAGTGAAGCCACTAAGTTTCTTTTTTCCCTAGTTTACAGTAAACTGAGTCACATGCACTTTCTCATGGAAAAGATTCCTGTAAAGTGGAGCATGCTATGTAAAAATAAATATTTTCCACTGGCAGGTTAAGTAATACCTTGAGAATGAAACTTCCATTATGATGTGATAAGAATGACAAATAGTCATGTAGGTACTGCCTCTGTGCCCTTAGATAGATAGCATTATTGTCTCATGTATAATGCTATGTTTTCTCAGTCTTGAATAGATTTGACATCTACAGATTCAAACTATTTCTTACTACCTTTCTAAGAGCTCTCCAATAAAAATATCACAAAACACTTGTTTAATTTTGATATTTTTTGGTATAAATAAATATTGCTTAATTGTGCATTGCATTGTGTCCAGTCTCTCTCTTTGTTTCAAAGTTAGTGAGGGTCAAGAATTCAGATTCACTCTGTAATACGTTTTCCATTGAAACCTCCCATTAATTTGCACCTCTTACCCCATTACTCTTAAAGGTAAAAAAGTTCACCTGAGAATACAACAAGAGTGCGTAGTGCAATCAGTCACATTATTATTAAAATGATATCTAATCATTGGAAAAGGTTCAAAAAAGAACTACCAAAATTGTAGATGGTATGAAGAACAGGGAATGATGTTAAAAGGAAAATACAGAGGTGACCAAGTTTGAGAGAGACAGAAGATAAAGGGTTGATTTAATTGAAACATATAAAATATATAGTGAAAGTGAATACAAATTAGAAACAGCTTTTTTGAATTTCATAATGACAGATGAGGTCACAAATAGAAGAGACTCAAATACAAAAAGATGAGTTTTTCAGCCACAGAGTGACTGATGTATGGGATACTCTGTCTAAGTACATAGCGGTGTCAGATTTTGTGCAGACATTCAAAAGATCCCAGCATAAAGACTGGGTATAGAGAGAGTAGGAAATGGATAGCATTAAAGCATCTTGAATAACAGCCCATCAAACTAATAATTAATGTTAACCTCTGATCAAAGCACACTACCTAATATACATCAGAAATAAAAAAACATATATACTTAGTGAGGAGTATAGCTAATTAAATATAATGTTCAAACCATATTACTTATAATAATCAGAATACATCTTTTTATCACTTGAGTACCCTTGTTGTAAATGTTATGTTATACAGCCTTTGAAGTATGTTCTAACTCTATCATTTTTCATGGAATAAAAGGTAGACATTGAGACGGCTAACAAAAAATGCCAAAAAATAAAAAACTTCCAAACATTTGCAGTTTTTGTCTTTTATGGAAAATACAAAATGGTTACGCTACAATAAATTAGAAATTCAATTAATATTTGTAATATATTGTATACACTATGGCTGCAGTTACGCCTCAGCTTAAAAGCATAACTAATCTGTTAAGATGCTGTACAAGTTTGTTTCAGAATTTTGTGTAAAGCTATGCAAGGGCTATTTGCACATAGTCAGTATTCATTTTAAACTAAGGAAAAACAGCCATTCAACCCTACCCATTGCAAACTCTTTGGCTATTCTTATATGATAAAATAGTGTGATCTGACAGTCACTCTTACAACGTATCCATAGCACCAAAGTGTGGAGCACGATAAACCATAAATCCTCAGATTCACAGTTTAACCGCATTAACCACTAGGCCATGCTGTAATAAAACAATCACGCCACAAAAAAATAATAATATCTGAATGGTCTTAAAAACAGACCACCTATAGCTGTAGAAGTATAATCGAGCAAACACCAAATACTTGGACTGGTAAATTCTAGAAGAAATACGCAAATGAATTCTAGGAGTTTTTCTTTTACTTACATCCACTTAATCATTATTAATAAACCACTAAATTTAAGTGTGACAGAACAATTAAAAAAACAATACATAAATTAAATTCATTATTTAAGAGTTCCCTTAAAAATAAGTACGATATTAAACCTACTGGTAAATATATAATATAACAATGGCAAATATGTGCATTTGTAAAGTGTGAGGCCTATTAACTTACAAATTACACTTGTCATACAAAAATGAGTTTTTATCAAAGTTTTTCTTCTTATAAAGTCAATAAGATTTATATCTAAGGCCATACAGACATATACTTGAAAACTCCAAAATTTCAGATATGTCTCGTCTAAACATGTCAGTGTCAACATAGCTACTAATTAAACACTAAGTTCTTCGTTACATAAAAGTGGCTACATATACAACACACTTGAGTCGTTACTGTCATAAATATTGGGATCTACAATTGTTTCCCTGTAGTTGTTTTGTTTGACACATTTTGTACTTTAGAACTAACCACTAATAACACAAAATAAAATGTTTATCTGGAATTAAATTTTTCCTAACATTCCTAGATATATATGATTATCTGTCACGATAATATTATTTAGATCTTAGAGTCATTCATTTAAAAAACTAAAATCCTTTATATTCTGCTTCAGAAATCATAAAAGCTTGTGAAAATAAGGCTTTAGTTAATTACCAACAATGCTGAATACCACTGAGATACTGCAGGCTTTAGCATAGGATCCAATTATTGCAAAAACATCTTCACAGGCAATAAGTGGGGATAAGTATTCTTGTGAACAAGTGTCCAAAACGTATGTGAATAAGTCTGAGATGCTGAAAAACCATGAATAAGTGTCCTAAAAGTATGGGAATAAATTTGAGAAACTGAAAAACCACGAAGAAGTTTGGGTCGTGAAAAATGAAAGAAAAGAAATTGGGGAAACAGAAAAAATACGGAAAAGGAAACTGTATATTGACTATTGGGTTTAATCTCTGAAGCCCTACTGCTATGACTGTGTTGTTGGTCAATCACAGTGAAAAAAATCGGGGAAGAATTCTAGGAGTCTTCACTGAGGGTACATGAAAAATCTAAAATTTTTGTTTGTAAAAATATTTACCCCAAGCAATAAGTAATTATAAAACCATATGAAATGCCCACCTTCTAACTATTATTTAAAGATACTATAATGAAATTAATACTAAAATTAAGATATTTCAAAATCTACTTGCTGAAAAAGAAAAGAAGATTCTTCAAACCACACTGATATTTAACGTACATATCTATAAATCCTAGTCATACTAGGATCACAGACTGAACTATGATTTTAAACCACATTGATATTTAACGTACATATCTATAAATCCTAGTCATACTAGAATCACAGACTGAACTATGATTTAAACCACACTGAGATTTAATGTACATATCTATAAATCCTTGTCATACTAGGATCACTAACTGAACTATGATTTTAAACCACACTGATATTTAACGTACATATCTATAAATCCTAGTCATACTAGGATCACAGACTGAACTATGATTTTAAACCACACTGATATTTAACGTACATATCTATAAATCCTAGTCATACCAAGATCACTAACTGAACTATGATTTAAACCACACTGAGATTTAACGTACATATCTATAAATCCTTGTCATACCAGGATCACTAACTGAACTATGATTTAAACCACACTGAGATTTAACGTACATATCTATAAATCCTTGTC